AGGTGAGAGCCCCGAGATGGGGCGGCCGCCACGGCCGGGCACCCCTCTGGCACCCCTCGGGCACCTCGACGGCCCTGCTCCAGACCCCCGCTTCTCCTCCAGAGACCCCTCTGATTCCCCACTGCAGACCCTCCGTTTCCCCAGCAGAGCCCCTGCCCAGCCCCATTGCTTACCCCTGGCTTCCCTGATGCAGATCCCTCCAGTTCCTCACTGGGCACCCCACTACCCTCTGTGCAGATCTCTAGCTCCTCACCAAACCTCTCCACTGTCCCCGTTTCAGTTGCTTGCTGCAGACCCCGGTTCCATGATTGATCCCCTGGTCTCCTGCCGGGGCTGAGCCAGGGACAGGCTGAGCAGTTGAGGGAAGGAAGGGGAGACACCCCTCCTGCCCAGCCCAGCTGGGTGCTGCAATGGGATGAGGAGCAGTTGCTGCTGGGGCAGAGGACAAAGCCCTGGGGAAGAAGGTCTCCAGGGCTTCTCCAGGGCGCTGAACCCAGGCAGCTGCCTCAGTGCAGGAAGATGTCCTCATTCATGCAAGGGGAAAGGGAGGGCTTGGAGGGTCAAAAGGAGAAATAACCCTGAGTGAGAGGGTAACCCAACTCAGCCTTCCCTGGGAGATGCCCCAGAGATCTTTCTTGTGTTACTTTAGCAGCCACCTCAAGGCATCCTTGCTGAGTCCGGCATAATGTGCTGGAGCAGTGGGAAGGAAAGGTGGTGTGGTGCTCAGATGAGTTTGTTCTCTGCCATGGCCAGGACAGTAGTCGCTTCCTCATGCCAGGTAGTTGTCAGTGCTCTTCTGCTCCACATAAAGCGGAGGTGCAGCTGCTGCATAGGAGCTGTCAGGCTGGGCTCTTTGGAAAGCCAAGCACCCCTTCTCCTCCAGGGTCCTGCTTGTCTCTAATCTGGCCACAAAGATGTCTCAGAGGTACAGAGTGTGAGCCCCCAAAAGCCAAGGAGTAATTGTGATCTCTCTTTCTCCCTCCCTCTTTCTCTTCTCCCCCAAGGAACTGGCCAAGTACTTTTTGGCAGAACTGCTCTCAGAGCCAAGCCAGACAGAAAATGAAGCCCTGGAGTCTGAGGACTTGTCCCGAGGGGCCGAGCAGGATGAAGTGAGACTGGAGCTGGAGCGCTCGGCTAACTCAAACCCTGCTCTGGCGCCCCGGGAACGCAAAGCAGGCTGCAAGAACTTCTTCTGGAAAACTTTCACATCCTGTTAGCTTTTGAAACCCATCTTTCCTCCCTATCCATCCCTGCCTTCTTCCTAGCCCCTGCCCTGAGCAGAACCTTCACCACAGAGGCGAAGACTGTAAATACACGATCCACGGTTATGGTGAAATTAAAGAAACAAGGAAAATTTGAGTTTGATTTCCAGTTGTTTTAATAAAACTTTCTGTTCCAATTGTACACAGTTTGCTTGAGTTGTGATTTCTGACTAGTTCTTCAGTGACATGCACTCTGCAACTCTTTCAGATGTACTATTTTTAATTCTTTGTTGCAATAAAGTTTATGTTTCAAGCGGTGATGCTGAGACTTCGTGGTCAATGAGAAAACCGAGGCTACGTCTCGGGCTGCTTGTCTTTGAAATGCTGCCCGTCTCAGGATAGCAGCAGCAAACAGCATCCACATGCACACACATGCTGGGGTTTTTTTTTTGTTTTGTTTTGGGTTTTTTTTGTTGGTTTTTTTTTTTTGCTGTGATCTCTCTAAGGGACCTAGAGACATAGTGGTACTTTAGATATCAATTCCCTGTAATTGTGGCTGAGTCAAATCCACAGTGATGGCACTTCAGTCAGTCTAGAGGATTTACACCCATCACTAGCGGCATCACTATAAATCACAGCTGTGTATTCCAAGTGATGGGGATCACAAAAGTGGTTCACAGTACAAGTTTACCCCACACATAACTCATTTCCTCTTCAGCCACAAAAACTAAAAGGTTTTCTCACCTGGCATGTTTTACTCTTTGCAACTTCCTCACAGACACTGCTTCTGGATTCCTTTGGGAAGTTTTCCTTTATTCTGCTTCAAAGGGGGAGGTTTCGCATCTTTCTAAGGCTGAGATGTTCACCCTGTACAGCTAGCTCCTCTCCATCTAATAAACTGGTTACAGCAGTTTTTCTACACAGTATATCATTATTAAAGGCATTATTAAAAGGTTCAGCA